ATACAAGACCGAAGAGGACAAGGTCAAGACGTGATATCGAAGCCGGGCATGCTCATCAGTCACCTACATCTCGCTCAGCAGGCGAATAGACTGCATAATGAAACCTTGCAGTTGATCGCGTCTTGGCCGGAACGTGGGTATTCAATTCGAAAGATGGATGCTCGCTAAATGACAGATGATTCTTTTTTCCCTCCTCTGCGTGTCGCCCATGAAACATTCGCACTGCTCATCCGCAGCATCCAGTGGGCTCCTCGACGCCCTTCGCCTGTTGTGTGGCGGCCCCAGTTTCCACCTTGTAGACGAGCCAGTCGCAAAGGAACTTGCCGAGGCCGGCACCGAGCAGAATGGAGATGATGATGTAGCCATTGTAGTACATGGCGAGCAACATGATAATGTAGGCCAGACCGAAGAAGGTTGTGTGCAGCACGGCACGGATGAGCTGTTCGACGGGCGAGGCGCGGAAGATGAGCGGCGCGCTGGGTCGGGCGACAGCGCCAGGGGCGACGGCGCCGGTGTCGTCGCAGCACGAGGGCTCAACGGCGGCGGCGACCGCCATCTGGGCCGCGCGCGCGTGGAACTGACGCAGAAGCAGGGCATCGTACTCCTTGCCGAGGCGGCGGACGAACTCGAGGGTCACGGTGAGGAGGGCGACGCCAATACAGCTGGCAGCAAAGGCGCCGTTGCTGCCGACGTGCCAGGACTCGGCGAGGAAGCAAGAGTCAATGGTGTACCAGTTCCAAAGCATCTGGTGGTTTGGTGGTCAGCGAGCGAGCGAGGGCCATGCAAGACGAGGGGCAGCTGGACATACGGAGACTTTGCAGTCGGCGGTCGCGCCGTGGCCGCTGCTGTGCGACATGGCGGCGGAGTGTGAAAATGCTCTACGTTGAGTGAGGATCAGGGATGAAGATGAGGGAATGATGACCAGTCGAGAGGAATCCGTCAAAAGCAGTGCTGCAGCTTGCAACTTGAAGAGGACAGGAAGAAGTCAGGCTGAGAATTGCCAATTGCGAGAGTCACGAAGCAGCTGCTCTCAGAGCCGGGCCTGCCCAACATTGATGGCGTGTCGGGGTAGATAAGATGTGCCAGGGGCTGCGGAGGTTACCCACTGCCCGCCAATGTTTGCCCTTGCGCCCCTCCTTCCCACCTTCCCTTCGTCGGGCAACGGTGGGGTAGAGGGAGAGCTCTAACCCGGATGGTGTACAGGCATTGAAGGCGCGGCATTGGGTGCGCAGGTTTTCCAAGAGGGCCTGGGTTCATGGCGTTGCGCAAGTTTAGCAGGGGCAAGAAGGGGGGGGGGCACGATGTTTGAGCTTATTGGAGTCGTGGCGACTTTGAGACCCTGGGACAAAGATCAAATCCCTGGGCCGTCTTGGGACGCGCTGGTCGTGCGGGACATCTGGTGTGCTTTGGTACTTGGGAAATGGGAGAAGGACGGGGCTAAGCAGCTACGGTCCGCTGCTGGTTGGTCAGAAACTTGCTCGCTCCGATGAACGGCCCCGGTGGATCGGATCCGCACGCAGCGCCCCCCCCGGATCGAAGAAGCACCGTGGTTCGGTCAATCGCTGTTTCCAGATGCAAGGTGTGGCGCCATAGCGGCCCCACTAACTTGCTCAATCGTGCTCAGTCGCCCGGGCGGTCACAGCTGGCGGCGACTGCCTCCAAGCAATATGGACCAGGAAAACCACCAAGAAGACGATCGAGAGAATCCCCGCTGACGCCTGCTGACGCCCAGACGACGCCTCTTCCGAGTTGCCTCATGCGGGCTCTCCAAGATCTACTCCTGCACATGGCACGCCTCTCCACTGCCGTGCCCATATGGCGAGGAGGTATGCCTCCGTTGGCTCGTCTTCTGTATCGGGCAATACGTTTATTGACCAAGCCGGTAGAGAGAGCAGCGAAGAGCGCCATGGCAGCTTGTCGGCCTGGGCACCAATATCGATCAGATAGACGTCTTGTCATCTGCTCGAGTCAAAACTGCAGCATGCAAATCCAATTCGACCACCCCCGTCAGAGGGGCGGGCATTGGACCCTTGGCCAGCCCGGGGAATAAACGCGCTACACCCACCACGTCGCATCGCCGAGTTCCAGACTAATAAACCTGCTCACTGTGGATCGCCGCCCGCCGCCTTGGCTACCCAAGCTCCCATTGTCGAGACGAGGGGCCAGACACCCCACCAACCTGATAAAGCAGACACGAAACACCACTCGGAATGTTGCTCGAGGATGTCTTTCTTAAGGTGCTCCCATCTCCCTCCGACGATCGCCACGAGGCTTTGATACGCCTTCTCGATTTTTCCTGCTGTCTTGCGATTGTGTCGAGATCTCTCCCGAGACACAGCATCGGCCCAAGACAGACTCATAAACCCCCCTTGGCAAGGTGTCTCTCATCTACTACCGGCGCACATAGTAGAGACGCGTTCACAATTCTACGCAATGGAGGCCACTAAGAGCCTCCTGGCACCGCGCCAGCATATCCAGGATCACGATGCCGCCGAGTCTGTCATCCATCACTGGGGCTACGCTGACCGTGTGGTACCCTGCGTCAACGATCCTGGGTCCTGTAGATACCTCGACGTCGTTTACAACGCCCACGATGTTGGCATGATCTACACCGGCGTCATCTGGGCCACTATCGGAGGCATTCTCCTGATCTGGGCCATTGTCAGGCGGACGATGCCTCCCCAGTCCCACCGGAACCCTCAGGCGCTGGTTGAGGGCGAGAAGCGGACGGTGGACACGACGACGAGGATTCGCCATACTCTTTGGTCTTACACCAACCGCTATCTCCTGCCCGACTCCATCCGCTCCATCTTTGGCCGCACCACGCGCCTGCAAGTTCTCGTGCTTGCCATCCTCACCGGCTATCTTACCATCTTCTCCTTCGCCGGCATCGTCTACGGCATCTGGATCACCCCCGTCAAGAATATGGAGGGCGTCTACAACACCCGCAGCAGTCTGGGACCCTTCTCTGACCGTGTCGGTGTCATCGCCTACGCCCTGACGCCGCTGTCCGTTCTCCTGTCGAACCGCGAGTCGCTGCTGTCCGTCTTGACCGGCATTCCCTACCAGAACTTCAACTTTATGCACCGCTGGCTCGGCTACATCATCATGGTCCAGTCCATTGTCCACACCATTGGCTGGACAATCATCGAGGTCAAGCTCTACCAGCCCCAGCCCCAGGTTGCGAAGAAGTGGATTATGCAGCTCTACATGATTTGGGGTGTCGTCGCCATGGTCCTGCTTCTCATTCTCTACGCCCTCACGCTACCTCCTGTCATCCGCTTCACCGGCTACGAGTTCTTCCGCAAGTCGCACTACGTCCTGGCCCTGGTCTACATGGGCGCCTGCATCGGCCACTGGGAGGGTCTCCAATGCTTCATTATCCCCGGTATTCTGCTGTGGTTCATCGACCGCTTCGCCCGTGCCGCCAGGACGTTCCTGCTGCACTACAACTTTGTGGACGGCACCAAGCGTGGTTTCGTTGCCGCTCACGCCGCCATTACCACCTTCCCTGACGAGAAGGACGGCGACGTCGTACGTCTCGATTTTGAACACTCTCACGATGCCTGGGCTGTCGGCCAGCACTTCTACCTCTGCTTCACCGAGAGCAGCATCTTCCAGTCTCACCCGTTCACCCCGCTGAACGCAGCCGTCACTGTCAACGGGCGCACCAAACACTCGTACGTTTTCCGCGCCAAGGGCGGCGGAAACCAAGAAGATCGCACAGATCGCCGCGAAGAAGCTGGCGGCTGCTGCTGCTGCTGCTACTGCACCTGCGACAACGTCAGAAGACAAGAACGGTGTGATGACGGCCGCCTCGGCCCCAACGACGCCTGTTGTGCTTACCGGCCCCTACGGTGACCCGATCATGCGCAACATCACCCCCGAAGCCAACATTCTGTGCGTCGCCGGCGGCACCGGCATCACCTACGTTCTGCCCGCCCTCCTGAGCCTGACCGCCAATCCTGCTTCGCCTCGCAAGCTCGAGCTCATCTGGGTCGTCCGCCACGCCAAGGATGTCGACTGGGTCAAGCCTGAGCTCGCCGCACTTGAGGCTCTCGATGTGACGGTGCGCATCTTTGCCACGCGCGACGCCGCCTCAAGCTCGTCTGATGCCGATCGCTCGTCCGAAGCCGAAGCCGACGAAGAGAAGCGCGCTGCTGGTGCTGTGGCCGTGCAGAAGATGCGTGCTCGTGGCGCGGCGGCCAGTGTCCGCTCTGGTGGCATCGGACACCCGGACCTGGCGTTGCTCGTGCGTGAGTTTGTTCAGGCGACTGTGGCCGCGAGGACGGTCGTGTTTGCGAGCGGGCCTGGCGGGCTGATGACGGACGCGAGGGCGGCGGTTGCGGCTTGCAACGACGGCGGCAAGGTGTGGAAGGGCGACGAGCGGTTCAACGTCGACTTGATTCACGACGAGCGCATGGAGAGGTGAAGAAGACGTGTTTGGATTTAGCGATGATACCACCTTGTTTAGCCTTGAACTCGATTTTTCCTCCTGCGTCATCGATTGATTGCCTTGTCATGTTCGCCATGTATATTCTCCTCTGCCGAGTATGTAGGTAATGCACTTTCGATCGAAGCAGCACCTGTGGATGGCTTCATCAGTGCTACCACTCTGCCACCCTGGACCCTGACCCCTGACCCTGACCCCTGACCCCCTTTTTTCCCGGTTTCGCCGCACGCCAGTCTACCGCGCGACAGGTCTGAGCCTGCACATGAGCGGCGGCTTGTTCCACGTGTTGAACGCCTTGACGTGGCGCAAGTCGCCCCCGACATCCCAGAGGTCGACCTCGCCGGGGGCCGTCGGCACGCGCTCGACGTCAAAGTGCCACAGCAGGTTGGCCAGGATGAGGCGCAGCTCGAGGTAGCTCAGGTGCTTGCCGATGCAGCCGCGCGGGCCGAGCGAGAAGGCCTGGCTCGCGTCCCGGGCGTCGCGCGCAAAGGGGGACGGCCCGTCGGCGGCCCCGCTGTGCCCGTCGCCGTCGCCGTCGCCGCCGAGCCACCGCTCGGGCAGAAAATCGTCGGGCCGCGCCCAGTTGCGGGGCGAGTGGGTGGCGGCCCAGCTGTAGACGGAGACGGTGTGCCGCCGGGCAGGAACTCGCCGGCGACCGTGTCCCCCCCGCGGGGCACCGTGCGTGTCAGGCCCGTCGGCACGGGCGGGAAGATGCGCAGGGCCTCGTCGATGCAGGCGTTCATGTAGGGCAGGTCCTGGAGGGCGAGGAACTGCATGTCGGCGGCGCCGCCGGGGCCGGGGAAG